TGATTCCTATTTGATGCCAGAAGAAACAGAAAAAGCAGGAAAATCAAAGTGACACTATGGTGAAGTCGTGGATATTCTGAACAGATTATAATTAGAATATGGACAGTATGGACTAATTACACAAAAAGCCATGAATGACCCTTTTATTCAAACAAACAGAATTGGGCCACTGGCAACTGAAGAGGGTTTAGGTAGTCAGCTGGTTAGTATTCGTAGCGATGGAATTAAAATATATATAGCTGTTTGCAGAGAGAGGTAGTCTGAAAAAAGAGTGAAGGCGACAACTCCCAAATGCATTGTGGGTAGTTTTCAGGTTACGGTTCCTTGACCTCAGGATTTCAGGAAAATCTAAAAACAGCACTGTAAAGAAGAGGCATAATTAACGTGTTTTTTTTTGTTCACTACGTTGGCATGGCTGACTTTTAATTCTAAACTTGATGAAGAAAACAAAAAAAAGGAAGAACGAAATGACCCTATTACAATGACCTAAGGAAAATATTGAGTACAGCCTAATTTTCTATTGTTTTCGTTCTCCTCGTTTTATTATGCATGCCCGTATTCAGTCCCTTTTCATTAGGCCTTCTATTCATATTAATTTTGTATTTATTTGTAAAATTCATTGATTACTGAATACCTAGGTTACCTTTTGAGATTGTCGCGTGTATTTTGCTCTTTTCTCTAACAAACTTTCTGCAAACAGCCGTTTATATCTTCTTAGCGTACTTTAATTAATTTTGATATGTTGTTTACATCATCGTTACAAAGCGTACATTTTTATAAAGTAATTTTTAAAAGTTCTAGTTGTATTTTTTCGAGAGAGTGAGTGAGTCTTAGCATAGCACGTGACAGGCTCTCTTTTAATCGGACAACGTATTTGAGGATTTGGGGGTATGCTAATTTAGTTTGGGACTCCCTTTTTCCTTATAAGGTCCACCAACCATATATTATATATTTAATATGAAATAAAACGAGAGAGGCAGAGATGATGATGATGATGATGACGATGATGATGATGATTATCATCATACAGTGGTGAGAGAAACTGTGAAACTCACTTGGATAGCCTATATGACTCTTTCACAGGCTGTATTTTATTTTTACTTTATTAGATTTTTAACGAAATATCGCGTTTCTGATTGGTCCATGACGAATAAATAAAACGATTACAGAGTGTAATTCAGAATTTACTATGGGAGGGCAGACTATCATTTGGAGTTGCCATTTGTGATTAGAGGCAGGGCCTTATGTAGAATACTTTTCAGATACCAAGGGAATTTGAGGGAGGTTAATTAGTGGTACTGAATTTTCTCTACAGGAGGGGGATCTTGAAGCGGAAAGAAGGCTGAAAACAACCACTTGTGTCGTGGAGTCATTAGACTGCACTCACAACAGCTTTCTGGCTTAAGTACAAGGTGTTAGAGATGCAAGGCTGAGGATATTAGCCAGGAACCCACAGTTTAGAGGACGATAACATTAGTATATAGACAATATAGGCTTGTTGTACTAAAGGCCATAAATGATCCTTTGATTCAAACAAGCAAAACCGATCGAGCCTCTGACAACTAAAGAGGGTTTAGTTAGTTAGTTGGCTAGTATTCGGAGCGATGATTTAAAAAATATACAGAAGTTTACAGAAAGGTAATCTGAAAATCGGCTAGCGACAACCCTAAAGGAATTGTGGGTAGTTTTCTTGACGTCAGGATTTAAGGGAAATCTTAGAAAACATCACTGTAAGGAAGAGGCATAGCGTGATTTTTTCTTTACTATATTCGGAAGACTGAACTTTAATTATAAACTTGATGAAAAATGAATAAAAATGATGATGCAGTAACCTGAAGAAAAAAAGTTTACAACCTAATTTTCTATTTTTGTTCCTCTCGTATTCACGTCACTGTTTGCATTTATCTCCTGTTTATTTATTCAAATTAATTTTTTTCACTCATTGAAATTAATTATAATTAATTATCTGATACCTAGATTACCTGTCAAATTTGTCGTGTGCACTTTGTCCTTTTTTTCCGACAACCTTTCTGAAAACAACCATATATATCTCCCTTGCGGTACTCTTATTCATTTGAAGTTGCTGTTTTCCTAGAGAGTTGGTGAGTATATACCCATAGCACGGGACAATTTCTCTTTCAATCGGAAAACAGATTTGCGGAATTGGGGGTTTAACAGTTTAGTTTGGGACTTCTCCCTTCCTTAACTAACAACCATATATTATATTTTCAATATCAAACAAAATGAGAGGGAAAGAGCTAAAAAATTATCATACAGCGGAGATGAGAACTGTAAAACTCGCTTGGATAGCTCATATTGCTCTTTCACGGGCTTATTTCATGTATACTCTTTTGCATTTTCAACGAAATATTGCGTCTCTGATTGGTTAATGGTGAATAGATAAAAAGGTTAACGAGTACAATGCAAAAGTTGCTATGGAAACACAGGAAAGTCCCAACTTTGAACAATTGGCTAACAGCCATTTTTTTTTTTTGTCAAACCAAAATATCGTCGAGAAAGATAAAGGGCATTTTAAAATCAAAAGCACCTTGAACACTACATTATTTGCCTCGTCACGATGTTATATTTCTGACTGGTTCATGTAAAACATGTAAACTTTAGGGAAACCAGTGAAGTCTTTGAGGAAGCACGTAAGGAGTAATTTTGTCTAGTATACAGTAAATAAAAATAGACAGTTAAAGGCTGCATGTGGCTACTGTTAAAGCACAGTTTTTATACCAGTGAAAAGAGTCCAGACCGGAGTTTTTATAGTAATGCTAGGAGGTAGAGTTGATTGGAAGATTCTTTGGGAATAGTATTCCGCAATTAATAAGAGACAAACCTTATAAAAAGATGTGTAGAAAGCTTTGCTCAATACAAATAGAACATCATCTCTTGACAATTTACTGAGCTATATTATAAAAATTTTCCTTTACTTTTTTACTAAAAAATTACAAGGCTTTTGTTAGAACTACTTAACTTAAGGGGCACAATTTAGTTAATCTAGACGAACGCCTCTTCTCTCCTATCTATATACAATGTGACTTAATATAATTGGTGTTATTTTGTATTGTAAGTTTTGTTTCCTTGAAAACTTAATCTTTTTCTACTTACTTTTTCATCTTGTATCTAATTCTGTATTATCGTCCGCTAAGGTTTGGAGAAATAAATAAATAAATATAATCAAGAAAAATATTTGTCTCACAAGGAAAACAGAGAACATGCTACATCCCACATAATTAGAATACATTACCTAATCGACATTCAACCAATAACTAAATTGTAACAAATAATGGTATTAACAATAATAATAGCAATGATATCAATAGAATTTAAAGGGGCTAACTCAAAACACTCATGGCTACCTAATCCTCTGGGCTCCAAAAATGATTATCTATGCCTCTTTTAATTCGCCTGCTAATTATAAATAAAATTTCTACTTGATCTCAATTCCATTTTTTTGAGACGTTCGTTTCGGTCATACAAATAGGTGTTCCACATCCCAGGATGTTCCGTCATTCCGCGTATTAAGATATTTCACAATTCCGTCGATCCATCGTCCCTCCGTTTCCTCGTTCCATCATTCTACTGATCATGAATAATTCAAGGTCTCATTTCGCAGCTTGCTTGCTTCGCAGATTTAGGTGGAAGCCACAAAAATTGCATNCCGGGGGAGACTGGATCGACAACGGCGTTTTAGGCGCGAAATTTTTTACTTAAGCTGGACATCTGCGTCATCACGAACGTGACAGCTGATCACAGCTGTCACGTTTTTGGTCATTGTTTACAAAGGAAATGTGGCCGTAATTTCCAACATGCCGTATTTAAGGGATGTGAGAAAATCACTTTTAATCGCTCATGACCAAGGACTGGTGTCAGATGAGGAACTGTTGCTATTACTGAAAGAGAATTCGTCAAAAAACCCTGAGTTTTTGTACGAAAAATACGCGAGGTTTAGTATCGAGAGTATCGAGGAGCCTGAGTGCAAGTCCGAGTTTAGAGTTGAAAAAAAGGACTTTCCACTGCTGGCTGATGCGCATCGACTACCGGACACCTTCCACTGTAATCAGAGAACCACTGCCGACAAGTTAGAGGGGCTATGTATTTTGCTCAGGCGAATGTCGTTTCCTTGCCGATATAGCGACATGCTCGCACGATTCGGCCGACAGGTTCCTGAACTTACCATGATATCAAATACGGTGATGAATTGTATTTACGATATACATGGTCACAAAATGTGTCAGTAGAATCATGATCTACTGAATCCACGTGACTTCAACACCTACACGGATGCTATATCGAATAAAGGGGCTGCGCTACAAAACTGTTTCGGGTTTATAGACGGAACGATTAGACCGATATGCAGACCCTCGCAACAACAAAGAATAATGTTCAACGGCCACAAAAGGGTTCACTTCTTGAGGTTTCAGTCCATAACTTTACCAAATGGTTTGATAGCCAGCCTTTTTGGCCCAATTGGTTAGTAAAAGAAATGTATTACGTAATTTTTGGTCTATAGTATTCGTGATGCCAAACACTTCCAGCCCGTATGAAATGGTACCTTTGCGAAACTACATCTCATTTGAAATACAAGTTTCTTTTTTTTTGCCTAGAAGGTAGAAGGCACGATGCAGGGATACTTGCAGACTCTAAGCGACTCGACAGTTTGGATCAGTATGCATTTAACACAAATGGAGACCCTGTCTGCCTTTATGGGGACCCAGCTTACCCAATACGAGTGCACCTACAGGTTCCATTCAGACAGAATGCTATCACTCCAGCAATTCCGTAAGGGAATGAGTAGAGTGGACCTTTGGTGATGTTGTCAAGTCGTTTAAGGCCTTAGATTTTAAAAGTAATCTAAAAATTGGTTTGAGTTCAGTTGGCAAAATGTACTTCATTCAAAATGCAATCACATGTTTATACAGAAACCTGACATCGAACCTTTTTTGAAACTGAACCTCCCTCCCTGCATAATTACTTAAGATAAGACCAGATAGTTAAAGCAGCAGTACATGACATGAAGAATTTATTGTTGTCTTGAAAAGTTCATTCGTACAACTCTAATTAATATAATTATACTCTGTACATTAGCATCCAATAATTGCTTAAATTCTATCTGCAAGACTGTAAAGTTATACTGTTCATTGCCTTTTGATTGTTCAACTTTTGATGTAAAATAGCAATGAAAATAAACCTGAAACATGTATAACTTTAGGAAGGAAGCAGTTATTAAAATTAGATTAGAGACTTCGAAAACTGCTTTACTGCCTCCCAAGCTCATTGACAAGTTTAACACAATATTGCCAAGTTTACCTCGAGCCAAGTAGTGAGTGAAAAAGCAAATTTCTTCCAAGAAATTAATCAGTAAGAGTAAACTGAAAGGTGGTAATTTATGACTCTTTTCATTTGTTCTCTTGCTGAAGCATACCCATCATAAGCTGACTTTGCTGCTGCATCATTACTTTAAAATTTTGTTGTTGTTGCTGCTGCTGTTGCTGTTGTTGAAGCTGTTGCTGCTGTTGTTGCTGAGTCAACTGCATCATACTTTCATATCTTTGCTTCTCTAATTCTTGCTGTTTTTCCTTCATCAGCAACTATTTCTCTCGGAGGCTCATTTCCTGAGTATATTTTTCTCGAAAATACTCTATGGTGTCATTGCCTGAATTTCTGCTTTTTTTCTTCTTTAAAAGTTTGCTATTTTCCCCCTCGTCTTCTTCTCTTTTCATTTTCTTGCTTTCTCCAAATGTTTCCATGGCAATTCTTCTCATTTCCAAAGCACTTTCCCTGTCCTTCTCTGATTTTGAAGAGGCACTTTCACCTACAGAGGTCAATGAGTCAATTATATTATTTAACAATATTAACTATTCAATTTTTTTACTCCCCCTAAGTATTATAAAAGGTAAAATAAGTGGTAAACTTTCCCAAAGGCTATTATTGAGTTAAAGAATGCTCATTTTATGTTTAAAATAGTTGGGAGGGGGAAAGGAGGTAGAAAGATTTATCACCATAAAAATAAATAAATAGAGGAACTTGAAATTTACCCAAGCAAAAAAATTATAGGCTTATATCACACAAATTATGCTAAAAGAAGTACAAACCCACTCCTTTTGCCTAAACCCAAAAACAAAAATTGAGTTATGAGTGGTCTCAAGAAGAAATTTTGATATCACATGCTAAGCTTTCTACTGGGTTGTTTCTAGAGGCCATGTAGACAAGCTATAATATAGTAAATAATGTAGCTGTGAGATAACTAACACGTTGAAAAAGCAGCAAGAACAAATGAGTGCAATTGACAGACATCTATCATGATCTATATGCAACAAATAACTCTTTCCCATCAAGAGGTGCAAAGAGTACCGAAAAATACCAACACAAGTAAACTGAGTAGATTTTCAAATTAAAAATGCTGTATTGGTAAGTTTCTTTCTTATGGCTTAAGACATCGTAGTTTTTTTTACTATCAACCTTTCTGATTTTGTCTGATGCAACAATTCCTCTTCCTAGCTAGCCCCAGTATAATGAAAGCAAAAATCAAAACAACTTTTCTTACCATCTTTCTGTCGGAGGTCCTCCTCGAATTTTTCTACTTCGAGACACTCTTCTATTAGTTGATCAAGTTCTGACAAAGATGGGCTTATTCCACTTGCTTTTGCTTCCCTCTTCATTCTCATTCGATACTTCTCTGCCAACAAAACGTACCGATCTTGCACT